GCTCGTATTGAGTATAAAGTGTAGTTTCATTTTCATAATGCAAGCAAACTAATTCAATTGCCAGCGAAGAGCAGGCAGCGACGGAGAAAAACTCGTAAAAGTGGGCTAACAGTAATGCACGGCAAGATGGAAGAACCGTAACGGGGTTGCGCAAAGTAGGCCATTCTAGTATTCACATGCGACTATAGTGACAATGGCGATGGTGAGAAAGTGTTTAGACACACACACACACACACACACACAGAGAGACACACACACACACACATGGACAGACTCGAGGCATTGTGCGGATTGCAGGTCTGGCTGTATGGCTTTTACCTATGGCATGACAATAGATAGGGCACGTATCTAATAAAGCGCCTCGCACGCGCTTTGCAGCTAATGTGCGCTTCGATCTGGGCAGGCACAGACACACATGCCTATATGGCATCCTCCCCTCAGCCGCATCCGACCTCCTTTCCGACAACCAAAATAAAAGCTTGAGGGCAAATATTTAGCCAAGCCAGCCGAGTTGGTATCTTTGCGAGCTCATTAAACTTTGTCTATCTAAATACTTGTGTGTGCGAGCGACTTTAAAAGACTGGCAGTGGAAGGCATTGACGGCATGCAACACGTAGCTGCTGCTATTGTTGTTGTTGTTGTTGTTGCTGTTGCTGTTGCTACTGTAGTTGTTGCTATTACTGGAAAACTTGCGCGCTTGAAAGTCAAACGACAAACAGCATATGCACTTCCTACACATTTCCTGTTGCCATTGCTAGCTGGACGCGATAGCAGCACCACAGACACCAAGGAGCTGCAAAGGAAACACTGAATTTATTACGTGCAAATGTAAATGGTAGCACGTGCTGCACCAACAACAACACGAACAACAACAACGACAGCAGCGTTAAGATGAATGCACGAATAAAATGCTCGTCCTTTGGTCGGTCGGTCGGTCGGTCGGTCGGTCGTGCTCGTTGCCTTGTCTGGCTCGGGGACGGGCAATAAAAAATTTTGTCGTCGCCAAAGCAGCTTCGAGTGTCCTTCCTCATCTCTTGCTCCTGCCGTCTGCCTTGTCTTCATTTGCTGCATTTAGCATGCAACGCTTTGTCCATAGATAATGCATCGACAAGATACAGCACAAAACGCTGTTACCATCGCCTTCCTTGTCGTTACACTCGCTGTTGCCCCGGCTCTGTTTAAGTGTTAGAATGTTTATTTCGATTATATATTTGCACATGTCCACATTACATTTCAATTTGCCAGGCAGCTAGCTCGATATACTCGGAAGGCATGTCCATTAAAAACTTTGCCGACCAGCCATGGACCTTTTGAAATTGCAAATAAGGAATAAAACGAACCCCAAATTTGGTGCCTCTTTCAAATATGGCTAAGAGTATGTATAATTGAATGCTACTCCCAACTAATGCTGGAGATTTTAGGTATGCTCAGAGCTTGCATCCACAGTTCTGCATCCACTTTATGAAGGCTGTTCTTTGTCATACAGTGGTCACTATGTGAGGATCCATGGTCCCCCTATTTGCCAAGGAATGCAGTGCTTCAACCAGTCCTTCATTCCGCATGCTTGACCAGGCATCATCGGTCTTTCTCTTTCTTCAATTTTGTGCATAATTTGGCAACCTTAGTACCTTTTTATTTGATGCGAGTGTTCCATTTAGATTAGACAGATATTTATTAACTTACATATCTAAAATGGAGCTGCTTTAGAAGCTTAACCTTCACTGGACACAGACCCAGATCCGCATAAACACTCTAAGCAGGGGTTTTAAGAGTTGGGCCCGCTCGACCCCAGCATTCCATAATTGTTTAATCTTGTTCTTTAGCAATCCTTTGGTTATATTGATTAGGAAAAGCAATTTAAAATGTATGAAATATTTTTTTTTCACATTTGAGGGAAGAATATGTTTGGTAGATTAATTAATCAATTAATTTTAAATCTTAAATCTAATTTTGTTATAATATGTGATTAGTTATAACAACATTCATTTGCTAATATCGTTAAATGAACACTTCAAAAATTAAATAAAAAAATAATTTTAATTTGAAAACTGCTAGATTTTTATAATTGAAAGGATACACGAACACATTGCTAGAATGCTCAAACTATTCCACAGGTCACTATAAGGAACCTTCATTCGCATTAATATATGTATATTTTCGGTGGGTTTTACGAAATGCGTACAAAAAACTGAAGAAACATTGTAAATTTGTCCATAAATAACAATGAATTATCAACTAGTAATGTGAATGAGTTACTCTAATCAACTACAACGGCATGGCAATTTATGCTTGAAAACATTAACTTAATTAGTCGAATTAAATAAAGCAATTTTCATTTATTTTTTCCTTTCTTCCAGCAATATCTGCTACCAACTAGAAGCACACACACACACACGCACAAGCGACAGGCACAGTGAAGCAATGTTAAGCAGAATATCAGAAAGAACAAGAAACTCAGTCTCATGATGATGACAGTCAAGAAATACGGCGACCAGCTCGCCAGCAGCAGCAACTGCTACAACAACAACAACAACAACAAAAGCAACTACAGAAACAGTAAACTAAACGAGTCGACGCCACAACTGCAGTTACAGACACAGCCAGAGCCACAGACTAAGGCAACGCCAACAGCGAAAGCAACAGAAAACGGAAGAGCGACAGCGACATTCGTAGCAGAGACAGTGCCAGGAACAGGGGCAGGGACAGAGACAGGAAGAGGGACAGGGACAGGGAGAGCGACAGCGACGCATTCAATCCCGAGCGGAATCAAACTGACGTACACACAGCAGCATGTGGGCCGAGCGGTGCGGTGGCAACTCTGGCTGCTGCTGCTGCTCTGCAATTGCATTGGTAAGTGTTAAATGGCGGTGTTGAGGCGCTGGGCAGACGTAACCATAAGATACCTTATGGTATCAGGTACATATGATACATAAATACATACATACATAGCATACTTATATACTACATACTCGTATACATACACGTATGAGTATATACATACTTATGTACATAAAAAAAAAATTATTATGTATTCAAGCCGGCTGTATGTTTTGCTTGTCTGCGTACATGTATGATTTGCCAATCGTTACGCCATTAACGTTACCGTTACAGTTACCGTTACTGCTCTTCTTCTCTCTGATTTCCTACGCCTTATATCTCTCTCTCTCTCTCTCTCTCTGACATGTTAAATGCAAAATTCGTTAATTGTTGTTCAACCAATGTTCTTCTTCATTGAAATCATGATTGAAATGAAGAATTTTCCATTTCAAACAAAATCTCCTCAGTGGGCGCCTTCGAGCCGGACTTTGTCATACCGCTGGAGAATGTGACCGTGGCGCAAGGACGTGATGCGACCTTCACATGCGTGGTGAACAATTTGGGCGGTCATCGGGTGAGTGGTGACGGTGCTTCAACCCCAGCCAAGGTATGTATCGGTTTCAAACGAACGCGTCTTCCCCAAACTTTTGTTTTCACAATATACATTATATTATATATCTACCCTGATTTCCTAAGTTCCATTCAGTTCCAGAATTTAACGATTCACTTTTGAGATCTCGTTTCAAGTGCACAATAAGTAATAAGCATAATATGCACAACAAGTAATTGAGTAATACTTACTACATACATATATGAATTTTAAGCGCACCTTTCGAGTATGTACTTATATTAATCTCTATAAATAATTACTTGTACTATACTCATATACTATATATACATATATTTATAACAGCACTATATTGTATAGTTAACGCACCAGAGCACCACCAAAGAATATGTATTGTTACTGTTATAATAAGATACAAGGGCACAAAAAAGCTGCAGCTCCTCCGTGTTAGCACAATTCTTCGAAGGTTCTACAGATTATCTAAGCATTAGGCTTAGTCTGGTCCCACATTTTGTACTGCAATTATTTATTAAAAAAAACATTGCTCTCCAAATTAAATACTTATGTGACAATTGTGGATAGAACAAGTATGGACAAAACAGGACACGGCCTTAAAAATTCCGTTCTCTACTTGTATACATGGTGTTTAAAAACACAGGATATTATATATGGAAAAATATGGAACAATAAGTAAAGTACCACAAAATATCCGCATCGATAAGAGTTCTTATGCTAAATGGAAAGACTAATGGATGCATTAATGTTGCAGATAATCAGCTAATGTTTTTTTATTCAATATTTTCAAACGGTAGTTTCCTTAGACACAACGCTAATTTTCCACTCGCACCATTCGCGAGGTAACCATTTATAGTAGAAGGAGTTAATAAATCCCCTGATCTTAAGAGACGCAAAAATAAACTGTGTATATTATAGATACTTTGTAAGAGTCTTGTTAGATTTCTAAATTGTCGTAAAATATAGACTTATTCAAAAGTGATTGTGTTTGGAATTATAACAGGCGCTCTGTACAAAAACGAAGAGTATAAATAGAGTTCTAAGCTGTTTTAAACAACTGCTTAAAGCTTAAAATTAATCATATATCCAAAGCAAATCATCATAACAAATGAACCGCCCTAGCCACGAAAAAGCAATGAACAATTTTAATCATGTTTAATATACAACTTGTGCAACATATTTCAAGCTTAATAGTTTATTTCAAATACTATTTCTATTCCATTGATTGTCAAATGCTCAAATCAATAAACGTTTTAACAATATTAAAGCCACGTTCAGCATTGACATCGATTGCACAACGCAAGAACAAAATATTGGAAGCTTGTCAAGTTACTTTTTTTTACCAGTATGTACATAAGTTCTTAAAATTGGATGTACTTGTATTTTATTCAGAAATGCTTAAAGTTAAATATAAAATGCAATAAGCTCGATTTTCTACAACGATGCACACGCTCTCTAGTCGAACATAGCCTTTTTGCTTCGTTAATGTGAGAGCTTGGTATAAAGGAAAGACAAGGAAGTTTCGGTATCAAAGTAGGCCTTAAATAACCCATAAAATATCCAAAATCCAAAAGAAAAACACAACAATAAACAACAGACTACTGTCATAGTCCTCTATCATTATCATTTCACAGTCTGGACGTTGCTAGTCAGGTACACACACGAACTTTTTTCAGTAATTTTTCATCTCGATTTTTTGTGAACCAAAACTTTCTGATTCATCGCAAAGTACGCTAAAGCAACTGTAGAAAATGTCCGACTCGGAGAAGCCCCAGCAAGCGTTGAATGAGCCTGTGGTAGCAGTGAAGCCAGTAATGGACGAAGGCCTAGTGGTGGATAATGGACCAGTGCAGGATGTGGATGAGAAGCCGGTAGCATCCAAGCAGAAGAAGCCGAAGCCAAACAACAAAAAGTTGCGACTGGCAGCAGCCGAGGCAGCAAGGAAACTGGACAATGAGCAGGGATTGGAAAATGCTCTGCAGGCGCCGCCAGGAAGTGCCGGTGTCGAGAATGATGTTCAAAAGGCCATAGGCAAGTTGGAGGAGGCCAACGATGGCAAACAGCAAATCAATCCACCAAGAGTACCCATTGCCAAGCTCTTTCCCAATGGCAACTATCCCGTAGGCGAAATTTTGCAGCACCCCTGGCCCAAGGACTGGGCAGCGGATGACCGCAGTGCCGTCGACCGATTCACCTCCGAAGAGAAGCGCAGTCTGGAGCGCGAGCATGCAGATGTCTATGGGCAGCTGCGCCGGGCTGCCGAGGCCCATCGCCAGACTCGCAAGTACATGCGCCAATACATCAAGCCGGACATGACATTGTTGCACATCTGTGAGACTCTGGAGAAGATTGCCCGCCGCCTTATTGGCGACAAGGGCCTGGAATCCGGGCTGGCCTTTCCCACCGGTTGCTCGCTGAATCGGTGCGCCGCCCACTACACACCCAACCCCGGGGACCAGACAGTGCTTGGCTATGATGACGTCTGCAAAATTGATTTCGGCACTCATGTCAATGGCCACATCATCGACTGCGCCTTTACCCTGACTTTCAACAGCAAGTACGACAAGTTGCTGGAGGCAGTACGGGAGGCCACCAATACGGGCATTCGTGAAGCGGGCATCGATGTGCGCTTCGGCGACATTGGCGCCGCCATCCAAGAGGTAATGGAGTCGTACGAGCTGGAGTTGGACGGCAAGGTCTATCGAGTTCGCTGCATTCGCAACTTAAATGGACACTCCATAGGCCAGTACGATATACATGCGGGCAAGATTGTTCCCCTGATAAGAACCAGTGATACCAGACGCATGGAGGAGAACGAGTTTTATGCCATTGAGACCTTCGGCTCGACTGGACGCGGAATGGTGCACGATGACATGGAGTGCTCCCACTACATGAAGGTTTGGAGCTATCGCTATCCCTATACACCTCTACGCCTGCAGTCCTCTAAGAAGCTGCTTGGCGTCGTCAGCAAGCACTTTGGAACCATGGCGTTCTGCAAACGTTGGCTGGAGCGCGCCGGCGCCACCAAGTACCAGATGGCCCTGAAAGATCTGTGCGACAAGGGTGTCGTGAAGGCCTACCCCCCATTGTGCGATATCAAGGGCTCCTACACTGCGCAATACGAGCACACCATTATGCTTCGTCCCACCTGCAAGGAGGTGGTTTCTCGCGGCGACGACTACTAGTTACTTAAAAGGGAAAGTTAGAACTATCGTTATGTTGGAGGAATTCGGCATAACAAGATGGGACTCCAATACCACGATAATCATCATCTACAAGTATATCCATGTATCTAACTAAAGCCATGCCATATACATTCATCATTATGTCAGGAAGAAGGAAATTATAAATATTTTTGTGCCCATGGGAGGTGGTCCTTTGCAGCAGTAAGAGCGATATTAAATTAAATCATCAACTAAATGTTAAACCAAATCAGATCAAGTCCATTTCATTAATATACCATTTCACTAAATATTTAGTGTTAAGACTTGCGTGAAGATCGTTTTGATTAAGGAAGGAAAACTGCCCCTGGACTGAAAGATAATAGTCCGTTCATAGCTAGCTTAAGTTAATATCTTTAATGGATTGAAACATTCTTGAGATTAATTTTGTTTTGATTTAAGGACCCTACCCGAACAATGTTCAACGATGACTTTGAAGCATTAACTTATACTAAGTAATTTTTAGTTTGAAGTAAGAGCCATGATGGTTTTATGGATTTTAAGTGAGATAAAAAGAGTTACAACTGAGCAGCAGACAACACTCTTATAGACCTTTAATAATATGTGTCTAGTATTTGGGAAGGATCAAATATTTCAGCAGCTGCAGCAAGTGAAAAGAAATTTGAATTTTATTGCCTAACAATACACTACTAAGCTCAACAATTCTGCCATTGATATGCAACCAAAAGTTAGCCATCAGCATTGGAACGCAATTTGAAACTAAATGCAATAAATAATGCACATAAACAAAAGCTGTGCTCGTTTTTAATGAATGGCCTTTGTTTGAGCCATGTCCAGAATTTTATTATTGTTCCAGTAACATATTGTATATAAGAGTACTTGAATGGGTGTGTGCGCGTATGTGCACATCATGCACGTCAAAGAGTGTTAATCAACGCAATTGCATCATAAATAAAAACGTCATTTCATATAAATCCTCTGATGTTTCAATCCAACAAAAGCAACAAATGCGCGAATCGCACTCTCACAAGTGTGTGGAGGTCAAGAGAAAACGCCAAGCCCACAGCCCTCATGCTGCAAGTATATACTCTGCTAGTAGAAGAGTATCTACGACTATATACCCTTGCCTCAGTTTTCTTACTGCCTGTTTGATTTTATTACAAAAGTATCCCAGAAAGTATAGATATTCATTCTTGACCATTATAACCGTCCATCTCTCTGTCCGTCTGTATGAAAACAAGGAGCTCGGAAAGTACAAGAGCTAGAAGACACATTTGTGAAATCTTCACAACTTCAGATTCAAGATATAGCCCGTAGATATACTCGTACTTTTAGCTTAGTATCCATTTAGTCAAGTAAATACAGAAGTCCACAATTGAGAAACGCCTTGTAAGTCCTTATGACAAAAAGAGCTGCTAAGAATTAGGTAATGCTTATATCCTATCCTATCTCTTAAGGTTGCATTTGTAATTGAGTATGAATTTAAATTTAAGATAACTATTTGCTTAAGCAATTTTAAGTAAAGCTGAAAAAATTGAAGCATCGCAAATGAAAAGAGTGTACAGAGGGCAACATTTGGCAGCAAGCGTGTGCTTCAGTTTTGCTTCTTTTTGTGTATTCGAACAATAAATAAATAAAATATTGTCAACATAATAAAATAAATTGCATTTGCGCTGCACAGAATGCAGTTGGGAAAAAATAACAGAGAATGGCCTGAAAACGGTGTCAGGCGTCCAAAACAAAATGGCCGCATGCATTATGCATAATTGTAGTGAAACATAGCTTCGATTACTATACTATAGTACATTCCGATGCAGAGCGTTCGACTATATGCTATGATACTACATACCATAGTATATGCATTATTTAAGAATTCTTTTGCAGCAATTTGTTAGCACGCTTGCAAAATACGCGGCTTTTATTGTAATTTGTTGAGCAGCGGCGATGGCAGCAACAACAATAATGTCATGCACAAACAAAAAGAAAAGTAAATACAATTTTCAAACAAACATGCAAACAAAGAAAGAAACGAACAGTCGCATAATCGCCGCATTGTTTTCATTTAAGTTTTCAACTTTTTTCCGCTGACCTGAACTGAACTGAGAGCTGAGAGCTCAGAGCTCAGTTTTTGTTAATATCATTGGTATCTCTTCTTTTTTTTTTGCCTTGTTTTCTCTTTACTTTTTGTTCGTTTATTCGTTGAAAACAAAACAGAAATATTAATAAAAATAAATTAAAGCGCACCGAGTTAAAACCGAAACAAACTTTGCACCATTTGTTGTTATGTGTATGTGTAGCTGTATTTTTGTGTACTCGTATGTGTTGTGGCACTGTCGTATGTAGAAACTATGTATGTACTTACATATATAGTATATGTATGTATGTATCTATGTACGTGTATGTAGCCCCCCCAATCCCCACCCAGTATTTTGTATTCTACAGTACTTTGCGCTCCGCTCTCTGTTTGTAACTGTAAGCTTTACTTTATGACATTTGTTCGCTGCTGGCTCGCGACTTCATTTCCAATTTCATTTGGCAATTTTATTTTTATTTACGTGTTCTTTTTTTCACTTTGTTGCTGTTTTCGCAGTTTTTTCCAACAGCTTTTGTTTCCGCGTCCTTTGTTCATGACACTAAAGCGCCCTGACTGCCGCCCGCTCGAGCATTACTCAATAAATTTGGTTTATTGAGTAAATAAATAAAGCGCGTAGCAATGTTGACAGGGAACATCAAACGGCCGACTGCAGTTGCATTTCACTCTCATTGCTCGTCTTTCATGCGCATTTATTTACATTGCAGCAATGTTTTTTGTTATTGCTATCGGAAAACGCCCCCAGAGCTCACAGCTCACAACTCACAGGACACTGGACACGGGGCACAGGACACGGGACACGGGAAACAAAGCTCAAAGGACACAGCTGCGCCAGGCACAGCAAGCAAATGGCCATTATATGGTATATGCATTCTGACCCCCATACATATAAATTTTCAGTGCCTGCACTATGCACAGGGCACCCAAAAAAGACATATAAACAACTTAAAGATCCTTTGGGCAAACTTACTGTACAGGCCATTCTTAATGACCGACAAGGAGGCAACAGTGGTTCAAACTGCCTCCCCCATTGGGCTGCCTTTTTCCACATCACTTGAGATGATCAAATAAATGCTATACTTGTAGTACATATTTAAAGTTGCAGTGAAGGCAGAACTGCAATTAATTTCAAGACAGTACATATTAATCCTTGCCTCATTGATATGCTATTGAAATACAACTTCGAAATCGAAAATGTTTCGGAAATGGGAAATATAATAAAGAGTATCCATGTAACCAGAAAGATGAAAGGTCTAATAAGAAAGAATCAGATCTTCCAACACCAAAGATAATATCTTACATTTCTATAGTTTTCTACCTGTTTTGTATTAATAATTCATAAGTTGATTTTGAGTTAACATCTTTCCTTAATGCCAGATGATAATACTATTTAAATACAACTTCGAAATCGAAAACGTTTCGGATATGGGAAATATAAAAGAGAGTATCCTCGTTATCAGAAAAAAGGTCTAATAAGAGAGAATCTTCCAAGACCAACATCAAATCTTACATTGCTTCAGTTTTCTACTTGCTTTAATTCATAAGTTGATTTTAAGTTAATATCTTGAAGATCTAATCCTAATTCCTTAATACCAGATTAAGATACTATTTAAATACAACTTTGAAATCGAAAATTGAATCTTCGAAGACCAACATCAAAGGTAAAATCTTACATTGCTTTAGTTTTCCACTTGTTTTTCATTCATATTTCATGAGTTGATTCAAAGTTAATGTCTCGAAGATCTAAAAACGATTAAGCAAATAAAATGCTTTCCAAAGTGTGAAAATCGTTAATATTTTAATATTCTTTAATTTTATAGTGATTTTTTCCTTTACCACGTTTTTGCCTTTGAAATACATTTCTACCCAAGTCGAAAACTTTACATGTGAACTCAAATATCTCTTCTCAATTTTTAAATCTCATGAAAGCGCAGTCTCTCGCTTAAAATTAAGTGTAATAATATGATAAATTTAAAGTCTATATATGCGAATATGAACTTCATTCCCAATACCTAAATGTGTTAAGTAATGTGATCTGAAGGAGCGGTTCGATTTCGATAGATTTTCAGTATATCTTCTGACATTGAACAATACATTAAATACAAATAAAAAGAATCAATCAAAACAACGGAGCGGTAAACAAAAGGAAGCATGTACAAATGTATAGTTTATAAAAAAGTTATTATTTTTACTATTAATATAATGTTAGAGAATTGCCAATGAAGCGATCAGAGCATTTTTATTTGTTACGATATCGTAAACAGTTTTTCAACTGTTTAGATGGCTTTTGAGAGATTATCTTATTTATATTTATAATCAACTTATATTTGTGATTAAATGGAGCGATCTGTCAACATTTGTATTTGTTGGCATTATTGATCCTTTTTTTTAGCGATGGGCGTCGGAGTTGGGGCGTCACAAGAATCAGCATTTTTTTTAAACCGCCTAACACATTTCGGCATAGTTTTTTTTCCTATATTCTTCCCATCAAGATGTATCTTTGTTTTGCATGGTGTTCTCAATCTATATAAGTAATTGCTTAAAATGCACCGCCAACTGCACCATTTCAATTGTGTGTTGTGTATTTATTATTTTATGGTTTGATTGTGATTTTTTTGTTTAAGAAATGAGTTTCTTGAAAACGTTAACTAATTGCATAATGTTTCTTCTTCCAACCACACTAAATGGCGAAAAACAAAACACAAATAATTCACACACACATATACATGCACACACGAACAACGAATGGAAAAACCACAAACCCAATTCTGCTAATTGCACTTGGAATATCCTTTTGCGTATGCTTGAAATGCTGCCAACAACAAAAACAACTGCAATAACAACGACTTTTAAAACGCGCGAAAAAACAAAACAACAACGAATTGGAAATGGCGTCAAATTGCGCTGACATCTGACGACGGGCTATGGCTTGGCTATGGCAATGGCAATGGCGCTGCTGCTGCTGCTGCTGCTGCTGCTACTGCTGCTGGTCTTGCTGATAACAACAACAATAAAAACAACAACAATAACGTTGACAACTCCAAAATGCGATGCCGGGCTATCAACGCTACTGCCCATTGTCAACGACACTGACACCACCAAATGGCTAACTTTTTTTTGTCCCAACTGATGCACCCGCTGGCAACAAAACTAACAACAACAAAAACTACAACAACACCAACAACAACCAACTACCAAATTCTAATTCATCCGCAAA